CAAGCTGGACAGGTATGTAAGCTTATCAAGAGTTTATATGGCCTTAAGCAAGAATCAAGAGAATGGAATCGTGAGTTGTCCAAAAGACTCTGTGATATTGGGTTGTCCCAATCCCCACATGACCACTGCTTGTTCACACAGCATAAACACAACCATTTCCTTCCTATGCTAGTATATGTGGATGATGTTTTGGTGATGGGTTCTAATCCTGAGCAAGTTATGGAGTTGAAGGCACACTTACATGACTTGTTTATTATTAAGGATCTTGGAGTTGCTAAGTATTTCCTTGGTGTGGAGATCTCAAGGACTGCAGCTGGCATCCATCTTTGTCAGAAGAAATATATTATGGACGTGTTAAGGGACATGGGATTGGAGGATTGTAAGGAGGTCTTTACACCACTACCGCAAGGCTTAAGGTTGACAGGACATGATGGTGATCCTTTAACTGAACCAGATCAATATAGAAGATTAATTGGTCGGTTGCTCTATCTCAATATGACTCGGTCAGATGTAAGCTATGTCGTGCAACAACTTAGCCAATTTGTGAATAATCCTTTCACTGAGCACTGGAATGCAGCCATATCTGTCCCCAAGTACCTCAAAGGGAGTCCCACTGTTGGTTTATTTTTCAGTTCTTCATCGCAGCCAGTTCTTAGTACTTTTTGTGATGCGGATTGGGCAACCTGCAAAGACACCCGTCAGTCGATCACTTGTTACTGTGTATTTCTTGGTGACAGCCTCATTTCATGGAAAATTAAGAAACAGGTCACAGTGGCTCATTCTTCAGCCGAGGCTGAGTATAGATCCATGGGGACGACCGTGTGTGAGATACAGTGAATTTATTCCTTAGCCAAGGAATTTCAGTTGGAGTCTGCCTTGTCTATTACTCTCTGGTGTGATAATCATGCCGCAATGCATATAGCAGCCAACCCGGTCTTTCATGAAGGAACAAAACACCTTGAGATCGACTGTCACATTGTGCATGAGAAATACAATGCTGGCTCCATTCTTCCCACTTACGTCCATTCTACAACTCAACTTGCAGACTTCTTTACAAACTTCTTCCAGCTGCTGCTTTCAATCGCTTGGTGTGCAAGTTGGGTGTGCGCACGCTTGATCACACTGGGTGTAGGAAATCAGCAGTTTATGTGGAATAATCGAGCTTCATTGTATCAGAGTAGTTATAACTGTTTTTCTTTGTTTTTGCTCAGTTAAATCGTGTGACGTTTTTTTTTTT